AGAGGAGAGAAAGACAGGAGTAGAAACATAAACTCAATGATTATTAGCAAATACGATTAAAAAAAAAAATTCTCATCCAGTGGCAAGAATACAATGTATTTTATAAGATGTATAGACAGTTATACATGGGAACAATCTTGGTCCAATTATGCATGCTTACAGTTATAATAAATATTCATCCCCCCCCCCCCCCCTGCTTCCCCCTAGTGATGTAACAGTTACAATCGTGATTATGACCGTTCGGTTCAATAGACGATTCTCTGATTCCACATCTCAATTTTGGTTGGATTTTTTTGCATATCTTTACCAGGGTGCCCTCAATGAGTTATTATATTGTGAAATCAGAATTTAGAGCTCTTTAAAAGGTGCATTTTTGATTGATGAGTAAAAATGGTAAAAATGTTGCCCTTCTACCACCCCTTGAGAATTTCCAAATAAGGCAAATCATGTGCAACACACTCATTATATTGTACATCCTCAATTGAGGGTCTAGGGTTGTATGTTGCTTACATTGTGTGTCATGTTGTAAGAATTAAAAAACATTAATATTTTGCAGTAATTGAAATTGAAAGGCAATAATCGCAATTGAATCAAATCACAAGGAATACGAATTGTTACACCCCAACCTGCTCCCCCTCCACAAAAATGTTTCCCTTGTCTCCTGCATTTACTGAAGTTCAATGAGTCAAGTAATCCTCTGACCAAGTTGGTCCAGAGGTCTTAGAAAGGCTCATTTAATTCTGCTACAGAGACCTCAAAATTAATTTCCAAGGGATGTGACATGCAGGTCCCCCTTAAAGGATATTAAACTTACAGTACCACCTGAAACTATTTATCCATTATGACGCAGTACATGTCAACAACATATCAGTATTGCTTTCACAAATGGCTAGCCTCCGACAGAGATGGTCTGTCATCTTGTCAAATATTCCTCCTCAATGAGAGGATGAAGCAAGCCTGGAATGAGCCCAACAGTCTGTGTGCAAGAGGCTATCAAATGGCTGACAGAAAAAAAGAGGATTGCTGTAAATCCATGTCACTGGAATTTTCCTGATTAAAACACTGTTCAGTTTGCTATCAAACTAGATGCTTTGAGAATTTGTTGCCTTCCACCAAATTCATCCTCAGAACAAGTTGATAAGTTTCACTGCTCCTGTTTGATTACTGTAATAGTGCTTAAAAGTTCTGAGATACGAAAGCAGTTGTCATCCTTCTCAGTTGTAATTGCCTCCACAGTGTTGTGTGTGCGTTTATGACTCGTGAAATTCCCTGAATTTCTGAAACACTTGCCACAATGGTTGCATTTATAAGGCTTCTCCCCAGTATGTATTCTGACATGTTGCTTTAGATTTCCTGCCTGATAAAAAGACTTGCCACATTGGTTGCATTGAAAAGGCTTGTGATCCATGTGTGTTCTTTTATGATGTGCTAGGGTCCCTGTCTGACTAAAACATCTACCACACAGGTTACATTCAAACGGCTTCTCTCCAGTGTGTGACCTGGCATGTTCCCTTAGGTGTCCTGCCTGACTAAAACACTTGCCACACTGGTTACATTCATAAGGCTTCTCTCCGGTGTGTGTTCTTTTATGACACAGTAGATTCCCTGCACGATTAAAGCACTTCCCACAATGGCTGCATTCAAAAGGCTTCTGGCCTGTGTGTATTCTTTGATGTTGCTTCAGAGTTTCTGTTTGATTGAAACATTTGCCACATAACTTACATTCAAAAGGCTTATCTCCTGTATGCGATTTCAAATGCCGCCTCAGTGCTCCCGCCCAACCAAAACACTTGCCACACTGGTTACATTCATAAGGTTTCTCTCCCGTATGTGATCTTGCATGTTGCTTTAGAGTTCCCGCATGACCAAAGCACTTGCCGCAATGTTTACATTCAAAAGGCTTTTCTCCTGTATGCAATCTCAAATGCTGCTTTAAATTCCCTGCGTGACTAAAACCTTTGCCACAATGGTTGCATTTATAAGGCTTCTCTCCTGTATGTAATCTTGCATGTTGCTTCAGGTTCCCTGCTAGGTTAAAACACTTGCCACACTGCTTGCATTCAAAGGGCTTCTCTCCAGTATGTAATCTCGCATGTTGCCTTAGATTCACAGCCTGATTAAAGCACTTGCCACAATGGTTGCATTGATAAGTCTCCTGACCCGTGTGTTTTCTTTCATGTATTGCCAAAGTCTGTGCCTGACTGTAACATTCATCCCACTGGTTGTATTCAAAATGCTTCTTCTGTGTTCTATGTCGCAACAGATCCTCTTGCCGATTAAAGCATTTGTTACACTGGTTACATTTAAAAGGTTTCTGAGGCGAGGAAACTGTGTTCTGTACCATGTCTTTCTCCATGTTATCAGTTAAAACCAAACCTTTGTTTTTCCAGCTCAAGTTGAGTAGTTTACTGCAGGATTCCTACAAAACCAAATTAAGGTAAAAGTAAATAGTCTGACCACTCATTTTAATACTGAAGAATTCATGGAATAAAAGGGCTTAACAGATATTGATCACAAAACTTCTAAATTTGAATGAAGATCATATTGATTAAAGATGATTGAGGGACACATGTTTCCACTTAGTTAGAACTAGCTAGTTACATGTAGCCTGGTTTACAATACAGGTATATCCACTGCTCTTCTCAAAAGCAAGCTTTTTCTTAAGGGGCCTGTTTACATGGAGGCAGGGTGCCCTGGCTAACCGGGCTACCCAGCTAGAAGGGTTGACACGTAGCCCACCTTTACATGCACCTCACCTAACTGGGACAGTGAGTGGGCTGCTTGGGCTATCTTTTGAGTGGCCCCTAAGCACAACAAACAAAATGGCCGACCAAAGAAACTTTTTGGCCACAAGTTTAATTTTTTTAT